ACAGTCCATATTAAAGGACAGGTTTTGTAGAACGTGAATGATTGTATTGAGCTGGAAGTCAAGAACAGAATATTGACAAATGATAAAACAACACTTGGGCTAGCCCTTTGATCTCAGAACCCCCCAAAACCTTTCTGTTCTAAGGTGCATTATCAGCAACTGCACATTTGTTAACTAAAAGTCAGAGTTCATGTATTCTGTGATTCTATAGCTGCAGAATTTCCTATAGAATTACCTCATTGTCAGAGATGTGCTCTACAATAGGTACATTTTGCTCTTAACCTTCATGGTTGGAAGAAAAGCTTGAAAACGTAGGCAGCAGTGACGCTCGCTGAGCCTGCACATAGCTCTCAACAATAACTCTGAAATGAGCTACCCACCAGTCTCTATGACTTGGTGACTTCTAAACTTAAGGCTACCAATTGGCAACATATTGTTAACAAGGATGGGAACAGTGCAGATATCATCTTCATTCTCATATTGCTTACCTATTGTTTGCTTTTAAATGCAAAGCTAAGATAAAGAGAGATTAAGTGTCTTGCTTACAATCACACAGGAATTCTGTAGCAGAGCCGAAAACTGAATACAGGTATCAGGAGACTATTTCTTTGTGTCAATGGAGTTCATCAGCACAAGGCCTTCTCCATCAAAACACCATCTTGTTGGTTCCCAAGTGGAGCCCATTCTGACTCCATAATACATACTGATGGCAATGTCCCTTACATTAACATTTAGTGATAATGCTGAATTACTGTAGGGCAAACTGTCTTCACTGCAAAGACTCACCTAATACCTTCTCCCTTTTCACACAGGTGAAAGTGGCTGCATTGACAGACAGCTTTAGCATTTATAGTTTCCTGGTTAAGATACTAGACTGGGTGCAAGAGGTCTGGGTTTAGTTTCTCACCTTCCAAGACTTCCTGTGCAACTTTGAGCAAGGCACTTAACCTCTGTGTTTCCACTACAAACTATACATAATGTATCTGTGAGTCTTCCCTTGATAGGTCTCATTTGTTCAGCTCTCTTGCGATGTGCTTATGGAGAATTCAGCATAGTAGAGCTCCAATCTTAATTGTAGCCTTTATATGGTGCCATAATATAAATCACATAAGAACAGATGGCTCATATGAACATTAGGAGCAATCCACAATGGAACACTGCAGACTCTTTCTTTTGGAATTTAAGCACCTTGTAGGCAGTTGTTGCTATGGGAGCAGTATCCACAATAAGGCTCTATTGATGCAGAAGACAAGAAACAGGTGTTTTGAATCTTGTATTATCTCTCATTCCCTTCCCTGTGCAGTATCCCAGTAAGCATCCAAGTCCCAACAATGACTCTCTGTCTTCAGACCCTTCTTCCCCACAAAGTTTAATGTGTGCCTCCTTCTAGCCCAGCAGCCCTGATGTCGTGAAAGAAAGAGTGCATCCTTTTCATCTCTCTATGTGAGGACAATGCGGGGAAGTGGGGGTTCCCACTCCTTTATCTGAAAATCACTACTGGTGGCAGTGACTAGCGTTGACAGTCAGCCCCATTGGTCTACATACTTCCCAGAAAAGTTGTGGGGCTTCCACCCTTTCTTTGAGTAGAGGAGGGCTGCAAAATCTAATCCTAAATGGGTAATCCTGGTCCTACAGCCACTTCATTTGATTTGGTAAATTAACAGAGATGACTGAAGGTATGTGAAAAAGGAGGTAAAAGGTTATTATCCTCTATACTGTGTTGAATTAGTGACAAGAGAAGGTACAGGACAGAGAGTCAAGAATTTACCTCTAGAGTTTTCTGTTTGACCCGATCACCTGTTCACCTAGCATTCCACCTGCTATATGGTGATCTATAAGATGTGCTAGACTGAACAGAGCTTGGCCTACAGACTACTCATATATGGAGCATGGCTTTCTTCAAAGGCAGAAAGTGAGTGAATAAATTTGGCCGTTTCTATATTGGCTTCCAGCTCTACTATCCACCAAATGAGATATATTTAAAGACTCGGCACAAGAAAGACTTTTGGGAAGAAGTAAAGACCTTAGAGAAGAAGGCTAAAGCAAATGAGGAGAAGGCTAAGATGTTCTAGGTTCTCCAGGAACACAAATTCAAGCCAGGAAAAAAAACCCACAGGGGAGGAAGAAAATGCCTTTCCAGAGAAAGAAGTGGATATCTGGATCATAAGGATGCGTTCTTGGTCAAAATCACCATATTTGGTCTTACCTAATGAAATGGCTTTCTGTGCTAAGACACTGAGCTCCATATAAACGAACTTCAGGATCATCCTAAGTGAAGGGGAAAAAATACTTGACTGGAGGTTTCTTGCAGTTGAAGAACTGGGTCACTGAGAAGAAAGAGAAAGCCCTAAAGCAGGAAGAGTAAGTCCTCTGAGAGGTGAAGCATCTAAGGAGCTGTCTATTCCTTGTCAAAGCCTCCCAATAAACTCTGTGCTTCCTGCCTCCAATTTCTTGCTCTCTTTGGACTTGGAACTGCATCTTGTTCTTCATCATTCTTATTTCTGTCTGTCTACCTATATATTAACAATCTACCTACCTCTTTCTTTGTCATCAAAGCAGCCAAAACTTGCAGGTAAATCTGACTCAAAGTTTGATGACATGAAAATAGGACTAACTCTGCAACATTTTACAACTACACTGAAAAAATCCTTTAAAGGTGAGTTATGTAGAAAAACAAGAATAGCAGTCTTCATTTTAAGTAGCCGAACACAGCATCAGTATTTGCACTGTAATATGTTTACATGGTAGACAACACATGTATTGTAAATCTCGAAGGGCAGTAACTCTATTGACATCAGTAAGTTTGGTCAAGATTTTCAAAAATAGGATAGTAAATCCATATTTAGGTGCTTATTATACATAAATGGAACTTCAGAACTTATTATACATAAATGGAACTTCAGTATGCCTATGATTATGCTGTCAGTGCATATACTGAGGAGGACCTACAAACGGCCCTTAACTGCTTCTCTTAAACATACCAGTGCATGGGACTGACCCTTAACATCAGAAAAATAAAGGTGCTTCCCCAGCCTGCTCTGGGCCAATTAACTTGGCCAGCAAAGATCCTCATTGACAGACAGGAGCTGGAGAATGTTCAACACTTTGCCTACCTCAGCAGCTATCTTTCAAAGAAGGCCAAAATTGAAGAGGAGAGCCAGTGTAGGATCTGATGTGCCAGCTCTGCCTTTGGAAGACTGTATCATCGTGTGTTCAACAATCACAACATCAGGACTCAAACAAAACTCATATTATATAAAGCTGTGGTAACCCCAACTATTCTCTATGTGAAGCTTGGGTGACCTACAGGGACCACATGAAAAGCCTGGAATGCCTTCATCAGTGCTACCTCCAGAAGATCCATGGCATAAAGTTGGAGCATCATCATACAAATGCCAGTGTCCTCACTGACACACACACCACAAGCATGGAAGTATTAATTATTCAACATCAGCTATGGTGGCCAGGGCATTGTGTGCACATGCCTGATGTATGTTTACCAAAGCAACTGCTATACTCCCAACTCAGCCAAAGACAAAGGACATATGGGGACAAGTGGAAACACTTCAGGGACACCCTCAAGGCAAACATTAAGTAGTGTGGCATTGACACCACAAATTGGGAAAAACTAGCCTGGTACAGGGCTACATGGTGATGCTTTGTAAGAGAAGATGCATCTTACTTTGAAGAAAACCATCTCACCCTAGAGGCAGAAAAATGACAGAAATGGAAGGAAAGGAAACAAAACTGAGAAATTCTCAATTTGACCCTCCCTTTAACCGCTACCTGTAGCATCTGCCAGAGAGTCTGGAGCTCTAGGATCGACCTTCTTAGCCATTAATGGACTCATCTCCAACCCTTTACTTGACCTGTGAGAGTAATCATTCTTGATTGTGAGGAATTGCTGATGATGATACATAGGTGGACTAATTTTCAAATGTATTCAGCACCCAATTTTTTGTGCTGACCTCAATAGGAACTGCTGGATACTTAATAGTTATAACAAATCAGCCCTTTACTTGCAGTAGGTATCTAAAGTATGAAGTTAGTAGCCTAGATTTACCTATTGAAATTCTTGCTTCCTGTGCTAGAGGGCTTATGTTTATTTAAGCTTATTAAGCTTCTTTAGCTCCATCACAACATATGTGTCTTCATTCTGTTTGATTAATGATCTTAAAATGGGAGATGTAGTGCCCTAATTTAATATGATTGACATGAACACAAACAAAAATGGTAATATTTATCTAACATTTAATGCAAACTGATAAAAATCTATATGGTACAGGTCCTTCAGCCAGGAGCATTTGGCTAAAAGGCAAGGTGAATGGAGGTCTGCATAGATATTGTGAGTTTAGAATAATATTTATTACAGCCTTTGATTCACCAATCCTTTTCAGAAAGAGCAAAGAATGAAAGAAGAACAACATATTCTTGGCTGAATATGATGCAAGTATTTGTTTCAAGTTGTAAAAGCCTCCTTCATTCAGCCCTGCCTCAGTGACTGCTACTACATTCACATGTTGCTTGGCTTTGAATCAATTGTGTTATACTGTATGAAATGACATCACTATAGGTGACTTGCCTCTTAGCTAGCCACTGTCACTAGTAGGCTTCAGACATCAAGCTGATATAAGGACAGTACATGTGTAAGTACAATAGGCCTCTCAAATTTGTTACAAATGCTCAGAGTTTGGTAGCATATATATAATTACCAAGCAAAATTACTATGCACCTCTGGGCTTTTACTTTCTGGAGTAAAATCATAGGATTGGAAGGGACCCCAACGGCTATCTAATCCAACCACCTCCACAAATGCGGGCTATGCTAGAGTTGATGCCTGTTTACAGTAACACTTCATAAAAGCAACAACCTGGGAATATTTTCTGCAATGTGTAGTCAGATGACAGTCCCTATAACAGTAAGCTCAGGTGTGACTTCAGAGCAGGACACCAACATCTTGCTACTAACAAGTGTTGATTGCATGCCTATACTGTCTCAACAGATGTCTAGCCAATTTCTTGAAAATGTCCTGTGAAGAAGATTCCACAACTTCTCTGGGTAGTTTGACTCATTTTTCTGCCATTCTTACAATTCTTCCCCCTGAGATTGAATCTAAATCTGTTTTGCAGCAACTTAAACCCATTGCCTCATGTCCTGCCCTCTGTGAAAAGATAGGATAGTTATGATGTTTGAAAGGGAAAAAATGTATTCAGATATAATTACTTTGCATCTTAATTGAAATTGTCCAGCAGCACATTATATGTAGAGCCCTACTGAATTCACGGCAGGTTCCTCTATGTGCCCCCTGCTGCCGCTGCTGCTGACTGGCAGGGAGGCAAAATCAGCGTCATGTTTAAAACCACAATTTTTGCTTCCCTGACAATCATGAGTGAACCGCAAGTAGGGCCCCATCACCAATCAACGGCGGTGGGGAGCATGGGGGAACCTGCAAGATTAAAGGAGCCACGCAACACAGCACACTTCTGCCGTGAATTCGGTAGGGCCCTAATTCTAAGACAAAATGGAAACGTTTGGACTTTGCTATATTGCTTTAAGCTCTTTATTTATATTTTAAGTATGTCATGGAAAGGGAGGCTTCATACTGGATGGGTAGCTTCTTAATTTGATCTGCTGAACATGCCTCTGAAGCACATTCATGTCCAGTGAATTCCTTGCATCTCCACTGCAAGCTGGAAGCCTGATTACCAGGGATCCTGGTTTTCTCTGCTAAAAAAAAAAATCCCCAATTTTTGGAGTAAAAAAAGTAACCCAAAATCCACATTTTCCAGTGATTAAAATGAAACACTTGTGTGTGTGTGTGTGTGTGTGTGTGTGTGTGTGTGTGTGTGGCATTTCATTTTAATCACAGGAAAATGTGGATATTTTGGGTTACTTTTTTTACTCTGCAAATTGAGGATTTTATTTTAGCAGAGAAAACCAGGATCCTTGGTAATCAGGCTTTCAGCTCGCAATGCAGATGCTTGTAAACTCCTTGCCTTCTTGATAAGTACCAGCACCAAGAAAAGGCTATTTTGTATATATTACTATTCTGTACATTGCACCTGCTGTCCCTTGAACCTTTTCTCATTTTTCAGCAAGAGGTTGATGAAGTCTCTCATAAGAAATTAATAAGTAAGAGATTTTATTTTTAAAGCTGCCTGCTCCCTGCTCATGAGCCTAAGGCATTGTGCAATAAGTCATAATAAATATCATAAAACAGTATAAATAAGTAATCAGTTGTTCCCTCAATTCTGGAATTATTAGGCAGGGCAAGTAAACAGAAAATTAGATATTTCCAATTTTGGAAAATTGAAAACAAATTTCTCTCCATTGTTGAAGTGATTAGTGATCATTAGTACCTTCATATTTTGGTCTCTAATTTGAGACATTGGGAAGAAGTTAGTTTTCCAGAAGCTGCACTTGGAAAACCCAGCCCTCCAGTAGAAACCTCATGTTTGGTACTCAAACAGAAGTGCCCCAAATCATTTTGGAAAAATCACTTTGAAATAGTCTGGTTCTGCACCAACACTACAGAATCCACACCCAAATACTACAGTGATTGGTGATATATAAATGCTAACATAAATAAGGCATTTTACTATGCTTTCATGGCCCACCCATATAAATATAGTATAGCCAGATTTTTAAGCCCCTTAATTTGCACAATCACTGCATAAGCTTGAGTACTTCCAGTTATGGTTGTCATTGCTAATCTAGAACACTTTTCTATCTTGTGGGCATTAGGATATGACAGGCCTGACTGGACTTGGCCTGTGTCTGGTCCCATCACAAGCCAACATAAGTGATGACTGCTTTCACCAAGCTTGACCAGTGAATGAATAAGAACTGCCATTGCTGCTCAATGTCTTGCCCTTCCTACTTCACCCCCCGACAGAAGCAGCTCATTAAGAAGCTATGGGAAGAGAAAGCCTTTCGGGAGGAAATCAAGGCCTTTCAAGTGAAGATCAAGGACTTTCAGGGGAAAATGAATGCCTTTCGGGACAAGATAAGGGCTTTCAGGATGGCAATCCAGGCCTTCTGGGAAGAAGAAAAATCTATCTGGGAGGAGGACAATGCCTTTCAGAAGGAAGAAAAGGCTTTTAGGGAAGAAGCAAAAGTCTTCTGGGATGAGTACAGGGACTTCTGGAAAGGGTATAATGCTTTCTGGAAGAAGGACAAGGCTTTCTGGAAGGAGGATCAAGTACTATGGGAAAAAGACAAGACCCTCTTGAAAGAGGACCGGGTCCTGTGGGCAGAAGAGAAAGCCCTGTGGGCAGATGAAAAGATTCTCCTAGCAGAGGAAAGAGCTTTTTGGGAAGATGAGGAAGCCCTCAGAGAAGATGAAAAGGCCCTCCAGGAAGATGAAAAAACTATCTGGGAGGGGGCATTTGGTCCTCTGAGAGAGGAACAGTTACTTGTAGCAGTAGCTATCAATACTGCTAGGGGCCACAGTTCAGCAGCCTGTAGAGGAAGAGGATAAACAAAATGTAAACCATTGCCCTAGGCATAAAAGCAACATTTGGAAAGTCGTATACATTGAGGCAGTAGGTTGTTTAAATAGTCACCACTCCGCTTTGATCAACCATCTGAAATAGCTACTTTGACTCAGAAACTTAATAAAAGCTAATGGAATGCCATTGTAGAACTGTTTCCCAATTTAATTTGCTTTAAGATGATTGCAGTCATGTTTTCATTATATTGTATATTCCTCTGTGATCCTGTATACTGGTCAAAGGTTTGAAGCTGTCAGGCACCTACCTGGTTTCCAAACATGTCACCTGTAAGAGGAAGGCTGATGTTTGTAAAGTTATGACTCGTAAAAGGATGAAGATTTTTCAAGAGTCTATATTAATTATAATTCTAAATCTCTCAGAAGCTGTAGTCCACTGGTGCAATAAAAATTAATGCATCTTACATACGCATTTCACTGGAGTAAGACACCAGTGAATTTAAGAGTCATCATGCTAGAGTCGGTGATGACAGAGCTCTGGACTTTGCTGTGTAATGTTTTGATCTTCCTTCTCTGGAGTCTGATGTGCATAGATTGTGGCTGCATCCACAAGTTTCTTCTAGGATTCCAGTTGTATCCATTGGAAACTGACTTCTGAATCATAGCACTACATGGAAAGATGATCTGTTGAAAAGTGGAAGGGAGTAAGGATGCAAACAGCAAGAGGGAAACGTTGTCAGTAGGATGAAGCATTGGGAGTAGGCTATTCAGAAGGGGACAAATAAGTATGTGGAGGGTGTGTGGCTTTCAGGGAGTGACAGGTTTGTCCACATATAAAGTCTTGGAGATGGGGAAGCACTTTTATCTTCTGGATTAATTCCATATGAGTTCCTTATCCAGAAAACCTGGGGCAGATAACTTTTGGAGACAATGTAGGAGGGGATACCTATCTGAGACATACAAAAGAAATCTTGAATTATACAATGGGGATATCTGTTTTTTAGGAATGACAAAAGTAGCTGTTGTTGCTCTATAGCTCTTTCATGTCTGACAGGCTATTTTTGAAGAGGAAACAAAATCCTGTGCTTCAGATTCACAAAATTCAAAATATAATCCAGAAATACATAGCCTATATTTGGTCCTTTTTGTGGCTTCTACAGGTTGGCTAGGAAGGGGTAAGAGGAGAGTGTGGAAACTTTAGCCAGAATCAATCTTGTCAGCCTAAGAGCCAAACTTGTCGCATTCGCACATTGTGTGAGTAGCTTTAGTTTCATGTTCCAAGTTTGTGTGATAGTTTACATTTAAAAGGCCTGGATCAAAATGAGAAAGCACTTTACAAGCCCTTGTAAAGAATCTGAAGACTTCTACAATTGTTGGGCATATAGAAACTGGAAGCCAATCACTTCATCACGTTCAATATTTCAATTGTGATTTGCTGAAGGATGAGGTTGTGTGTCCTATCTAACTGTGTTTAGAACAAATTATACACAAAGGCTTTTCTTGTGTATAGTTCATAAACACACAGCTTCTGATGAATAACTACCCAGAGAAAAAATGCCTCATTGACTGACTCACAGATGTTAGGGTTGGAAGGGACCTCAATAGATCATCGAGTCTGACCCCCTGCATAGGCAGGAA